TTCGAAAATACGACTCGGATTTCAGCATACTATTTCTACGATTCGTGGCAAAATCCGAATACGAAACAGTTGCAAAATAGGGGTGTAAGTCTTTGAATAACCTTTATAGATGACTCGAAAATATGTATCTTAACATAATGATTATTGATTGACTTTTATGCTTTTCTTTTATAATAGTTATGTCTCTGTTTTTTATGAATGTTTATCAGATGCCAAGGCATTGGGGCATCAACTTCAAGTTAATTATATTCACCAGCTCATACAGGCACGCTACTTTTGTCAGTCTCTGCAGCTTAACGTACTTTACACACAAACGCTCCGTCCCAGTTATTAACGTTTGGATGACAATATGAACATTGAAGAATATGTACCAGGTGTGAAAATAATTACGCACACCGGAATGCTAAAGTGCCACGTGCCAAAGTATCTGGACTGCCCCATTATGCCCGAAATGTAAACTTTCTTCAACGCCGATAAAATTTAATTCCAGAAAATTATGTCCAGCATTTACTTTCCAGCATTTATCAGCGGCTTTAACCGAAACATAACCCTTCCTAACGTTACCGGATAATCTGCTTTTGCAACCCGGGCGACATAAAATTTATGTTAAATTGCATCAACATCTCAATGTTCAAATTTTCCTCTTTTGTAGGTGGTTCAGTTAAAGAAAACCCCAATACGCCAAATGAAATGAAATACACATTTAATTTGGGCTTTGTCGAATATAAAACTACTGAGACCGATATTACAGCCATGGGCGTAGCCAGAACGAAATTTAGGGGGGGGGCCCATACAAAATAAAAAATTCAAAACCAATAACTTACTTATGTACTAAAATTTTTTTTATTATAGCTTAAAATTATTGTAACCAATAAAGGTAAATATGTTGTACAAAAAACAAATAAACAGAAGTTCACAAAAGTTGATATAAAACTATTCGTCGATTTAAATTGTTAACGTTTTACTGAGCATGTTTATTTTACGAGGAGGAAGCATCGAAAGCCTAACCCCTTCCGTGTGAGACTTTAACCCAAACTAAAATTCCTACCGTCATGTACCGTTCCCCTCCCGGTACCACCGTCAAGGATTTCGTCGGGATTATAACACTGTGTGACTGATAAGGTTATAGATCTATTCTCTTCCTCTTCTTCCTTTTTGGCGCTGTAACCGCCAAAGCGATTTTGACCAACTGACGCCTATTAGAAATGCCAAGTGAAGCCAGAATACTTTCAGAGCTGGGGCGTCGGTGTCCATTCGAACGACATGATCAAGCCAGTTGAGCCGCTATATTTTAATACGCCACATACCAGCACGGGCATGATGAGTGATTTATAGTGTGGTTTTCGTACGTCGAGAGAGGACTTTACTCCTGACTTGCCTACTCAGTCCAAAGCAGCACTTGTTGGCACGAGCGATTCTGCGTTGGATTTCCATGCTGACATTATTACAGGTGTTAATGCTGGTTCCCAAGTAAACGAAATTCTCTACTTCCTCGAAATTATAACTGTCAAAAGTGCCGTGGGTGCCAGGCGCAAATGTGCTGATTGTTTGTTTGATGACAGGATATACTTCGTCTTGTCGTCGTTTACCACCAGACCCATTCGCTTTGCTTCCTTGTCCAACTTGGAAAAGTCAGGACAGACTTCGCGGTTTTTCTTACCGATGATGTCAGTGTCATCGGCATAAGCCAGCAATTGTACGCTCTTGTAGTAAATTGTTCCTAAGCGGTTCAGTTCTGAAGATCTTATTATCTTCTCCAACATCAGATTAAAGAAGCCACATGAAAGAGAGCCGCCCTGTCTGAAACCCCGTCTGGTGGCGAAAGGCAACAGAGCAGAGCTGGTGGTATTACTCAACGTCATTTTTCACAGGCGTATGACAGACATAGCGGCATATACCTTTAAGTACTGTCGAAAGCGGCTTTAAAGTCGACAAATAGGTGGTGAGTGCGGATCATTTTCTCGCGGGTCTTTTCCAAGATTCGGCGTACTGTGAATACCTGGTCTATGGTAGACAATACATTCGATAAGACCTTGCAACCTATGCTTAGAAGGCTGATCCCGCGGTAGTTGGTACGCATGGCGGGGTCGCCTTTCTTGTGGATTGGGCAGAGCGCACTTAAATTCCAGTCGTCGGGCATGCACCTTATTACCTCCTTGCCATCGTAATTAAATAGCTCAGCTGACAGGCAGTCAGTTCAAACAGCTTTGGCACTTTTCTTCATAGTCAGGCGCTGGGATATCGACTCCATCGTCATCGACTGGGACCTCGAAGTGCTTCCGCTATTCAAAAGGGTCGAAAAGTGTTCCCTCCATAATCTGAGTACGTTCTGGACATCGGTCACTAGGTCGCCATGGTTGTTCATACAAGAGTCTTGAAACCTTCCGTAAGGCGCTCAACTCTCTACTAAAAATTTCGGGTGTTTTTTCTGTCGGACAGCATTTCAAGCATTTTCTCACACTCGTGATCGTACCAGTAATTAGCGGGAAATGTGGTTCCACTGCTCGCGCAAGTCGGTTTGTTGAAGAGTGCTCTCTCACAGCAGGTGTGAGGGTCGAGCGCCGAATCCATTGGCCGTCTGTTTTGATTGCAGCTTTTCGACGTTGAACTTTCCCTGCATTGTTGGGGGCCCTTTTTTTGCTTCTCCGAGGTTAGGTCGTATATTCGATGCATCAATATAGTAGTGCGAGTCGATGTTTGGCCCTCGGAGTGTACGTATGTACATCTAAAACATGGAAGCATGTCTTCCGTCTATCACAACATGCTCGATTTGGTTTCCCGTTTTTCGATGTGGAGACATCCATGTAGCTTGAGAGAACGAAAAATGACACTGAAGATGGAACAACGCCGAAACCGGTTTGTCTCCAAACCAAATTTGACAAGGGACGACGGAAAATCGTTCCACAATACATCACACTCCTACCCTGTCGGAAACACCAACAACGAAAATGAAAATAGCTTGATGGATGTTTTTATGCTAGAACCCAGTAATACATACTGCCAAGCTTCGGGTCCCGGCGAAGTGGATCATCCTCAGCCCGCCGTTTCTATGTGGAGGCTGATTTTTTCGACACTGGCACCAAAGATCCCTTCGTTGCCCACCTTGGCATTTTAATGGCCAAGCACGATTTTTATACGTGTCGGGGGCAGCGCTAATATGTACGCTCTAAGCTAAGAGAGCCTTGGACGCCTCGTCCTTCTCTTCCATCGGGGCATTGGCACATGTGAATGAGATGTTGAAGAATCTCGCTTTGATGCGGATTGTGGCTAGACTTTCGTCCACTAGAGTGAACGCCGGTCTCTCTCCCACCACAAATCCAACACCGAATTGCACTCCTTTACGTGGCAACTGTAGTAGACGTCGCAAGGCTCACGCTTACCTTCCTCGCCCCGTCCATCGCATTTCGTGGATGGAGCTGATGTCAGCCTTTATTTTCCCTAGGACTTCAACCAGCCGGGCAGAGGCACCATCCCGATTAATCCCCAGCGCACGCGGGGTGTTACGCCCTCCCACTTTACCTCGCTCCCAAACTAGCGTTCGGTCGCTACCAAGAGTATTCATGGATATAAATATCCGGACGTAGTTAGCTGCGATTTGAACCGTAAGCACACGAATCATTTCTGGCCACTCCCAGGTGAATGGCCGTCAAAAGCTTTGCAGTACTGGGAAATGTACAAAACATAGTGGCCATAAACGAATATCTCAACTAAACCCTGATTAATTTTTTTTAATTCGCTCTACATACCTGTATAATAAACCAAATAGCCGGACAAAACGTTAAATGATATACATACATATGTATGTATGTATAAGTATGAGGGCGTATTGAACATTTTGAGTACGCAGATTTTTTAGGCTGGTATATTTATTTATGCTAAATATATTCCTTGATTTTGTTTTGTCACACTTTAGAAGTAAACGTCTTGGCTGTTCACCCAACCGCGTAGTAAAGACACAAACCTAAAGACAAAGTAATAAACAATTGAACTATAAATTTATTTATAGTTTCCGTTCCATCAATTTTTGCTCATTGTCGACTGCAGCCAGGTTTTTACCCTTTTAAAATGGAAGTGCTTTGAAGTTAGAGATAATAACTTGATACAGAACCGGATGATCCACATATCTACTTTCCAAATCAATTTACTAATTATTTAGTTAGCGTTGGGAGTATAATTTGTTATACAGTATATATATAGGAAAAACCTTGAAATTTAGGGGGGGCCGAAATTATCAAGCAAGCATTTCGTGGTAATATTTTTGAATATCTAGGCAAATATTTGAAAGTTAGGAGGGGGGGGCCCGGGCCCTCCCCCCCTGCCCCTACCTGGCTACGCCCATGATTACAGCAGAGGAATCGCAAAATACGCGTTTGGTTTGCAGTTCGAATCCTCCTTCCTATCCCCCAACTGTAAGCTCTGAAGTACCAAAAGTATACACGAAGCTGCTGCGTCTAATCGAATTTGATACTGTTGTCGCCACACATGGCCCTGGCATGGATGTGGATGGTAATAACTTTAAACAGATTTGTATACTCCATTTTGCTCATATTATTCTCTTTTTATTTCGCAATAGAACTGCCACCACACAAGCGTAAATCGAATAGTGAACTTGGACCACCTGCCAAGCAGCAAAAGACAATTTATCCAGCCTATTTTATACCAGAATTAGCGCACGTTATTGCGATGTTTTTTAATCTATCACAGGAATTGTCGAGACATGAAATACCAAATAGCGGCTTGCAAGTGGAAGCTAAGACTATGTTCAAACAGGCCAATTAGGTGAGGCAATTAAGCTTTAATTTGGGGCATTGAGTTTTGTGTTCACACACATACAATTTAGCTTATGCAATTAGTATTTGACAGCTGTGTGTTTTGATTTTACTTGTGAAAAATTCGGCGCGGAAAATGGAGAAAACTTGAGTTTAGGACGAATTTTACTAGCAGTCAATACTGTCAAAATTTGATTGCAGCTTGGCATTGTTGAGAAAAAGAAGGAGAAATAATTTGGTAGTCCTTCAAATTTAAGGATGCAGCAGCTACTGATCCTAGCAGCATTGGAACAAAATGCAACTCAAAGGTCGCTGTAGAAGCTGGTAAATTAAATTGAAATAAGTTTCAGTTTTTGTTCCAATCAATAATGTTTCCTTTTTACAGAATCGGCAATCTTCTTTTTGGGAGGTCAACTGCAGCTGCAATGATGACCACTTTTTCAAACCAGATTTTCGCATGACATGTGCCAGTTTTAACACACTCTGTGGCTTTCTCGGCAATTAAAAAAAAAAAGCCGATGCAAGCTGGCGCACGGCAATTTCATTGCAAAACGAGTAGCAATCGCTTTATTTGCCCTTTGTTCAGCTGGAGAGTATCGAGTAGTATATGAATTGTTTGGTGTTGGCAAATCAACTGTGTGTGCAATATTGATGGAATTCTGCGAAGAAGTGTGGCAAGCGTTGTCCACACAGTATATAAAGAAATTGCCACCCACGCAAGAAATAGTTGCTGAATGTGTGAATGGTTTTCATCGCCGTGGCTTTCCACAATGTCTGGGAGCAATTGGTAGGCAAATGGAAGATTTCCCATGTTAATATTAAAAAATGTAGACATTAATTTACAAATTCTTTTCCTGTTTTTTAGATGGATGTCACATCGAAATAAAACCAAACACGACTGATGCAACTGACTATTACAATTATAAGGGATGGTATTCTGTTGTACTTCTTGCGCTTGTGGATTACAGGTAAAAAATATATTTCTTTATTCCCGTTTATTTCATTGTTTAATAACAAAATATTATATGCGCAGATACCGTTTTTTATATATAAATATTGGTGCACCGGGACGTTGCAATCACTCCCACATATATAATCCATCCCTACTTAAAAAGGTGTTAACTGAGGACTAAGTATTGGCGGCCAATAAGAAGAATATATGCACAGAGACCGTTTTTTTATATATAAATATTGGTGCTCCGGGACGTTGCAATGACTCCCAAATATATAATTAATCCTTACTTAAAAAGGTGTTAACTGAGGACGAAGTATTGGCGGCCATTAAGAAGAATATATGTGGTGTACAAATGCCGGTCTGTATCTTGGGGGACTCGGCATTTCGTTCCACCACTTTAATGAAGCCATACGCCTTTTCTACGGCCTTGACAGAGAGACAAAAATTATTCAAATTATTTCAAAGTACAGAAGAGTGGTAGAGAATGCTTTCGGTCATTTAAAAGTCCGTTTTCGTCGCATTGGAAAAGGCTTAGATAACCGAATAGGGAACGCGCCGATGATTATTCGAGCTTGCTGTGTTTTACACAACTTTTTAAACGAAGAATGTGATAATATTAATCAAATATGGTTGGGAAATTTGGAATAATTTGAACGAAATCGGGAAAACCCTTCGCAAAATGTTGTACTTGGTGATAACGAAGCCTCAGCTGAAATCATAAGACAATCGTTGTGTTCTTATTTTGGGAAGTAAAAGTTATTCTTTCTCCATAACTTTTTATTGAAAAAATTTATTTATTTATTCGCATTCAGAAAGTAATTGATAAGTTTTATT